AACACCTGTGAGAGAAGGAAAAGTTTATTTTGTGACTTATTGTATTAGCCATTATGAAGCAAGCCCTTATTGGATGTCATTGATAGTCTGCAAGGATATTTAGGTTTTGTCCACAGAAATCTGCTTTTGGGGAGGCATTACAGCAAAATCAGGGCAACTCAGAGAGGCAGAAGGGGGAATGGGGTCAAACACAAGGGCTTTGGAGCCAGAATTTGGAATCATGGCACTAAACTGAGCTCAGCTGCCTTACTTGCAGCAAACTCAAATGCAAACTGCAGAAAACACCTTCCTCACAGGGTTGTTGTAATATTAATATACATCATTAAAGTTTTCATTGTTCTACACTTTAGTTATGTTTATTTATAGTAGCTTAATTCAAGTACTAATGCATGGGTGCATTTAAAAAAAAACACGCAACATAAGAGGATATGGAAGAAAGAAAAGGTGATCCTCTCCCAGGAAAAAACCATTGCTAAGACTTCTTAGTTGCCTTTTAGAATTTTCTTCTGTATGTAAAAACATACATGTGCTTTTCTTTAAAAATCATAAATGATGGCATTTATGATAGTTTTTCACCTTGCCTTTTTTCCTCTGGATTGTTCCATAGATCTACTGAATTATGCAGTATGCACTATGTCAACATGTAAATGTGGTTAACTTACCTACCAGGTTCTGTGTTAATGGACATGTATGTTATTTTCAGTCATCCTCTGTGATGAAGTGTCACTTCCATGAATATCTGTGCATGATTATCTCTATAGAATTCATTTTCAGAAACGGAATTACTCGGTCAAATGGCATATGCCTTTGAAATTTTTATAGCTCTTGTTCAGCTGTCTCCTGAAGAGGCTGAAAGAATTTATACTCCTACTCAGTTGTAGTATACAGAAGTCATTTAAATACATTCTTTATAAACCACTCAATTTTCTTAAGCCAGTTTTCTCACTGTCCCAGAAATCCCCAAGCTACATTCCTGCTTCGTTGCCTATAATCTTGTTTTGCCCTGAACCTAGAATTACCCTCCTTCTCATTTGTTTTAAGTCCTACCCATCTGCATTAGCAGCGCATGTTCAGTTGCAAATAACAAAACTCAAATGGAACTAGCTGAAGGAAGCCCTGGCTAGATAGCTCAGTTGGTTAGAGCACCGACCAGCTATACCAAGGTTGTGGGTTTGATCCCTGGTCAGGTGCACATACAAGAATCAACCAATTAATGCATCAGCCAATCAACCCTAATAAGTGGACAACAAATTGATAATCTCCCCTCTTCCTCTCTCTGGAAATCAATCAATAAAATCTAGAAAAAGAAACTAGGTAACAAAAAAGTAAAAGAGCAATGGAGGATAATTGTTGAAAAGATTTAGGTAATTCATAGACTTGAAAGATGAGCTACAGATTCTAGGGCAGCATTGAGGACCTAGGACTGTGACCCACAGACACTCCTCTTAATTTTGAACTCTGTGTATCTCTATATGATTTAATTCTCTTCTGTGGTATATTGATAGGTCTCATAACCGTCAAAAATTGAACGTTTACATGAAAGGTAGCAAATGGTAAACATGAAACTTCAAAAGGTGTTTTGCACTGGCAACTTCTGGCTAGCCCTACTTTTGGTGTCTTCTCATCCATCACGAATTACATGGAATTCAGTGAAGTTCAGAAAGCACTGACTGAATGCCCAGAAAAAGCATTCCTCCCAAATATCATGGAGTCAGAGCTCCAGTTTATTCTTTCTGGTGGTATCCTTTAAGTGAAAGCGGTGCAGCAACAACTCCATGTCTTCCCCCGTCTGCTTGACCAGAATGCTTCGGAAGCACCCCTTCCTCGCGCTCTCCGTGGTGCTGAACCACCCTGTAGTTGCTACGTGGTAGCGTCAGAGGAAACGTGATGAGGGTTGGTCAGGGTGGGGAGTGCAGGTTTAGGAAACAGAGAAAGTGAAGAAGTTGTTGAGGGCAAAAAGAAAAAAATTGTTTTGTCAATGTTGAAATCATCTCAGTTACCAAAAAAGAAACCACAATCAACCTTGGCGAAACGGAGGAAGAGCAAGCAATTCTGTGGGAAGCAAATGTTCGTGTGCACTAGCCGGCTTGCTGGGGGTGGGGGGGGGGTGGAGGGGGGTGGACAGATCACCCCTGGGCAGAGGCAGGATGGGTCAACTGCCATTTGCAGTTGACTGCTAACAAATTGTACCTGGAATTTATTTCTTTTAAGTTTTATATCATGATGGGGAAAATTTAGAACTAAACCAATAAAATCTCCCAGGCAACAGAGAGGACTTAGACATTTGACCTCTCCACTTAGAGGTTAAACACCCATCTGAAACTCACAGGTCTAGAACTGAATCTTAATAATTATCGGGAAAAAAATTTTTCACTGAGCTACACCAGCCAGGGCTAGAACTGAATCTTGATCTCCCCCATCATGCCTTCACCTGTTTACCCACAATCTTCCAATTCGTGGAAGTTTTTTAAATGACTACAAATTCTTCTACATTGTTTCCATTAAAGAAGTGTGGTCTAGGTTCCCTCCCCTTTCATCTGGCTGGGGTTGGTGACTGCTTTACTGACAGAGTCTGTGCAGTAGAACTGAAGCTTTGGGGTTTCTGAGATGAGGTCATACAAGGCTGTGCCACTTTTGCCCAGTTCTCTTGGAAGTGCCCCCGCAACTATCCATGCCATCCCAGCCAGAGTCTAGACATCATGGAGCAGGGACAAGCCATTCCCACAGTGTTCTGTCTGGATTCCTGACCCATAGAATCCTAGAGCATAATACAATGGTGGATGCTTTAAGGTACGTCCTTTGGAGTCACTTGTTAACCCAGGAACAGAAAACTGACACTTCATCTCAAGTGATGGAAACTTTATCTTTCCAGCTACACAAATTAAAAAACAAAACAAAACTTTTTTCTCATATCACATCCAAACCACCTACAAGTCCTGCTAATTCCACCTTCAAAATATATTCACAGTTTGACCACTTCTTAGCATGTCCACTGATGGCTGGATCTCCATCTCTTGATTGGATTTCTGTCTCCTCTTTCCCAACATTCTATTCCCAGTATAACTGCCCGAATGAGTCTTCAAACTATCACAGATTATGTTAGTACTCTGTCAAATGCCCTCCAGTGGCTTCCTATTTCATTCAGAATGAAAGCCAAAGTCCTTAAAATGGCCCATGGGATCTTTGATGATTTCATCCACTGTTCTTCCTCTAGTGTCTCTTCTTCCTTTCCTCCCCCACTTCCCTGGGGCCACACTTCCTTCTGTACTGTTCGTTGAACATGCTAAGCATCTTCCTAACTTGGGACCTTTGCACTGGCTATTTCCTCTGCAGGGAGCACCCTTCCAGTTGGCTAGTTAGAACGCCTCCTTCAGATCTATACTCAGTCTTACATTTTGAATGAGTTTTACCTGGACCACCTATTTATAATTGCAACCTTCCGCTACCAGCAGCATTCTTAATCTTTCTTATCTTTATGTAATTTTTTTCTTTCTCTCTTAGCATTTATGAACTTTCAACATACTAGATATTTTAATTGTTTAAGATGTTTGGTTTGATTGGCATTTGTCTCATTATATAGAATGCAAGTTCCATGAAGGCAGGTACCTATTTCGTACTTCAAGTATCTTAAGCACCTGAAACAGTGACTGATACTTAGTAGATGCTCAATAAATGTTTGTTGAGTGAGTGAATGAATGAATGAATGAGAATTAGCCCCTGAACACTGGATTTCCTCATTCTGGGGGAAATTGATGAATTGGAAAATACAAAATAGCAACATTTTAAACGTCTCCTTAATAAAAGAGACATTTTGAGTTTCTCATTTAGCATGAAGCCAAAACTGATGCAAAAGCAGATTATACATTTAGATAGATATATTTTAAATACATGTACATCTATTTCATACACAGTGCTAATTCAATGACATCAACTAAATATTCCAACTGAATAAAATTGGAAAATATTAAATGTCTATTATTTTTAAGAAAATAGTAACTGAATTGCATTTCGTGCTCTTAATTTGCTTTTCACCTGTATTCAGATTTCTGTTGTCAAGATACATGGAAAATTTAAGTGTATCAGATTGCATTGCTAGGCAGGTACAGATTGGCTATGGCTTAAAGAAAAAGCAGTGGAAATACCACATATTTGGTTGGTAGCAAAAATAATATAATTTAAATGGAATATAATTCATTGAAAGCTATGTGAATTTCCTTCTTATGCATCTATGGATAGCACAACCAAGGAACTAGAGATGACTGTTGTTTTGTTTCTGAAACCGTAAGTACTCATATAGTAAAGGAAACTCTAGGTCAAACTGTTTTCAATGTAGGTCATGGCTCCTTAATGTGTTCAGAAATCAAGGTAGTAGGTCTTGGCGAGCATCAAAAAAAAAGTGGTGAGAGCCAGAGAGGGAGAGAGAAGGAAAGAAGAAAGATCTGAGTGCATTGCAGGAAGTAAGGGGAGGTTGTGTTTCAGTTGTGTGTATGTGTGTGTGTACGGAGCTTGAGGGACAGTGTGTTTACGAATGTATTTTCACTATGGGTTATAGTCAGTACTTACTAAGACACTGCAATAGAGTGTTTCAGAATAAAACCACTGATCAGACTTTTAAGAATTACTGGAGGTCCATCCAGTATTTTATAACATCCTCATTTAAAATTTATGATTTTAGACATGGTTTAATAAGTGGTTTTCAAATCTTAACATATATAAAACTCATGGAAGGGGTGGGAAAGGGGGCAAGTGCACGTTAACCAACAGAGAATCTGATGTTTAGAGTCAGGTGTTGGATGGAGGACGCTTTGAGTTTAATAGGCCTCCATTAATTATGATGTGGGTGACCCTCTGCTCATGTGTGGAGCCACACCAGACTCCACCATAGGTAGTGATATAATTGTGAATGTCTTGAGTTGAGATTAACTCATATATTCCAAATCCACATACACAAACATTCCTAAACTTCTGTCAGCTATTTTCATTTTTTATTCTAAATAAAGGACCTTGAAGCCATGAGCCCTAGTTTGAGGAACTACTGAAGAAGGAAAAGGAAGAGAAGGAAGAGGAAGAGGAGGAAGAGGACATGATTGTTGACCGTGTGGTACGAGAAAAGTCGGGGCTGTGTGTGTGACCCAGTGATTCTTTGCTAGTAAAGCCGACTAGTTTTGCCTCTACACTCTGACCACTGCATAAAGGGTGTTGCAAATTCATCATTACTGAAGTTATTATTAAAAAGCAAACAAGTAAAGCTAAGGAATTATTTTGAAGACAATTTTTGGTTATCAAATTTCAAAATGAATGTACTGCACCGAAAGACAACTTGAAGATAATGGGCAGAATGAACAAGAGGTGTGATAATGTTTACAAATCCTTTTGGGCATGTGCCTTTCTACATAAAACACATGGCTCCTTAAATACAAGAAGCAAGGAGGACTTCTGCCAAGATGGAGGCATAGGTGGAAGCACTGTGCCTTCTCACACAACCAAGTTTAAAAACAACAAAGTTTTAGCAACAATAATGCAGCCAAACCACAGAAAATTGAACTATACGGAAGTCTGACAACAACGAACCCTTCAGCCAAACCAGTAAGAGGGGCAGAGCCAGCAGGAGAGTGGGGTCGGGCAGGAAAGATCCACCGGACCAACCTGGGTGCGCGACCCAGGTGCGCCAGCAGCCGTGGGTGGACCCACTGAGAGTGCAAGGTGGTGGACTCACTGAGGGCTGACCACGGTCACACATTCGCGCACAGTTAAACCAGTGAAGGAGCAAGCAGTGAGACAGACCATGCAGGGCCCAGTGGTGGGAAACAGCAGAGGGAACCCCCATTGCTCCCTCTCTGACCCTGCCCCCACATACAGCATCACAAACCAGCGACCTGGGTAACCCCGCCCTGGTGAACATCTAAGGCTCCGCTCCTCATACATAACAGGCAGGAACAGATCAAAACATGGCTCAAGAACAACTCAGAGCCCCAGAGCCAATAAATCTAAGCAATGAAGAAATAGCCAAACTTTCAGATGCACAGTTCAAAATACTGGTGATCAGGAAGCTCACAGAACTGGTTGATTTTAGTCACAAATTAGAGGAACATATGAAGGCTAAACTAATTGAAATGAAGGGAAATGCACAGGAAACCAATAGTAATGGAAAGGAAACTGGGACTCAAAGGAGTGGACCAGAAGGAGGAAAAAAATGACCACACAGAAAAATATCAAGAAACAAGAATTCAAAAAAATGAGGGGAGGCTTAGGAACCTTCAGGACATCTTTAAATGTTCTAACATCTGAATTATAGGGGTACCAGAAGGGGAAGAGGAACAGCCATGAGTGGAAAACTTATTTGAACAAATAACAAAGGAGAATTTCCCCAATCTGGCAAAGGAAATAGACTTCCAGGAAATCCAGGAAGCTCAGAGAGTCCCAAAGAAGTTGGACCCAAGAAGGAACACACCAAGGCACATCATCATTACATTAGCCAAAATTAAAATGAAGGAGAGAATCCTAGAAGCAGCAAGAGCTAAGGGGACATTCACCTACAAAGGAGTCCCCATCAGACTGTCAGCGGATTTCTCAAAAGAGACCTTACAGGCAAGAAGGGTATTCCAAGTCATGGAACCCAAAAGACCTACATCCAAGATTGATCTATCCAGCAAAGCTTTCATTTAGAATGGAAGGACAGATAAAGTGCTTCTCAGATAAGGTCAAATTCAAGGAGTTCGTCATCACCAAGCCCTTATTATATGAAATGTTAAAGGGACTTATCTAAGAAAAAGAAGATAAAAAAGAGTGAAAGGACAGCAAACTCACAGTTATTAACAACCACACCTAAAACAAAAGCAAATTAAGAGGGCAGCTAGATCAGGAGCAGAACCATAGAAATGAAGATCACATGGAGGGTTAGCAACAGGGGAGCGAGAGAAGGAGAAGGGGGGAGAAGGTACAGAAAATAAGTAGCATAGACAGTAGGTAGAAAATAGATAGGGGGAGGGCAAGAATAGTATGGGAAATATAGAATCTAAAGAACTTGAGACACATGGTCATAAACTAAAGGGGGGGAATGGTGAGGGAGGAGGTGTACAGGGTGGAGGGAAATGAAGGGGGAAAATAGAACAACTGTAATGGAATAATCAATAAAATATATTTTAAAAAAATACAAGAAGGAACTGGGGTTCTTTCTTTAGATTAAATGACCAAAAGAGGTGGTAGCATTATCTAAGATGACAATTTGACTGACAAACACCTAATCCTCATCAAAGAATGCAAAAAACAAATAACTGAGAATATAAAAATTAAGGAAATCAAGAAAAAATTATATCTTTATTATATTACCATTTAGTCCCCTTATACCACCCACCACCAGCAATCACCACACTGTTGTCCATGTCCATGAGTCCTTTTTCCTTTTTCACAATCTCTCCTCCCACTAATTACTTACCCTCTAGTAGCTGTCATCTGTTCTCCATCTATGAGTCTGCCTCTCTTTTGCTTGTTCATTCAGTTTGCTTGTTAGATTCCACCTGTGAGTGAAATCGTATGCTATTTGTCTTTCTCTGACTGGCTTATTTCACTTAGTATAATGTTCTCCAGGTCTATCCATAGTGTCACAAAGGGTAAATTTTTCTTCTTTTTTACAGCTGAGTAAAATTCCATTGTGTAAATTTCCCATAGTTGTTTTATGCACTCATTTATTGATGGACACTTGGCAATATGCAATCACCATATATGGGTGCTTCCATATATGGTGATTATAAATAGCGCTGCACTGAACATAGGTGTGCTTATGTTCTTTCAAATTAGTGTGTTGGGTTCCTTCAGATATATTCCCAGAAGTGGGATTGCTGGGTCAAGAGGCAGATTCATTTGTAATTTTTTTTTAGTTATGTCTACACTGCTTTCCACAGTGGCTGCACCAGTCTGCATTCCCACCAACAGTGCAAAAGGATCCCTTTTCCTCCCCATGCTTGCCAGTACTTGTTGTTTGTTAATTTATTGATGATAGGTATTCTGACAGGTGTGAGATGATATCTCATTGTGGGTTTTGTTTGCATTTCTCTGATGATTAGTGATGAACATCTTTTCATGTTTATTGGCCATTTGTATGTCCTCTTTGGAGAAGTGTCTATGTATGTCCTTTGCCCATTTAATTGGGTTGTTTGGTTTTTGGTATTGAGTTTTGTCAGTACTTTATAAATTTTGGATATTAACACCTCATCAAATGTATCAGCAAATATGTTTTCAGATACATCTGAAAAGAATGTATATTCTGTGAGTTGTCTTTTTATTTTGTTGATGATTTCTTTTGCTGTGCACAAATTTTTTCATTTGATGAAGTCCCATTTGTTTATTTTTTCTTTTGTTTCCCTTGCCTGGGGAGAGATATCCAATAAAAAATTTCTACAAGTAATGTCCAAGATTTTGCTGCCTATTTTTTATTCTATGATTTTTATAATTTTGGGTCTAACATTTGAGTTTTTGATCCATTTTGAATTTATTCTTGTGTGTAGTGTAAGAGGTGATCTAGTTTCATTTTCCTGCATGTATCTGACCAATTTTCCAAACACCATTTATTGAATAGACTATCTTTAGCCCATTGTATGTGCTTGCTTCCTCTATTGAATATTAATTGACTATAAATGTATGGGGTTATTTCTGGGCTCTCTATTCTGTTCCATTGATCTATGTATCTGTTTTTATGCCTGTACCAGGCTGTTTTGATTACTATGGCTTTGTAGTATAGTTTGACATTAATTAGGTAGTGTGATTCCTCCAACTTTGTTCTTCTTTTTCAGGATCTCTGTTGCTTTGTGGGGCCTTATGTGGTTCCACATAAAGTTTTGACATATTTGTTCTAGTTCTGTGAAATACATCATTGGAATCTTAACAAGAATTGTGTTGAATCTATAGATGGCTTTGGGTCATTTTAATGGTGTTGATTCTTCCTATCCATGAACAGGGTATGTGCTTCCACTTATTTGTATCTTCTTCAGTTTCTTTCTTTAGTGTCTGATAATTTTCTGAGTATAGATATTTTACATCCTTGGTTAGGTTTATTCTTTTTGAATAATAGGTATTTTATTCTTTTTGAAGCAATTAGGAATGGGATTGTTTTCTTAATTTCTCTTTCTGTTAGTTCTTTATTGACATATAAAAATTCAGCTGATTCTGAATATTAATTTTGCATCCTGCTACTTTGCTGAATTCATTTATCATTTCTAGTAGTTTCTTGGTACGATCTTTGGAGTTCTTTATGTACAGTACCATGTCATCTGCAAATAAGGACAGTTTTACTTGCTCCTTTCCAATATGGATGCCTTTTATTTCTTCTTCTTGCTGATTGCTGTGGCTAAGACTTCTAGTGCTATGTTGAATAAGAGAAATGAAAGTGGACATTCTTGTCTTGTTCCCGATCTTAAGGGGAATGCTTGTAGTTTCTGCCAGTTGAGTAGGATGCTGGCAGTGGGTTTGTCATCATGGCCTCTATTATTTTTAGGTATGTTTCTTCTGTTCCCACTTTGATGAGACTTTTTTTTATCATAAATAGGTGCTAGATTTTATCAAAAGCTTTTTATGCATCTATTGATACAATCATATGGTTTTTACCCTTCAGTTTTTTTTTTTATCACCGTTATTGGTTGTGAATGTCAGACCATCCTTGCACTCCCAGAATAAACCCCATTTGATCATGGTGTATGATCTTTTTGATGCATTGCTGTATTTGGTTTGCTGATATTTTGTTGAGGATTTTAGCATCTATATTCATCAGTGATAGTGGCCTATAACTTTCTTTCTTTGCAGTGTCTTTACCTGGCTTTGGAATTAGGATAATGCTGGCCTCATAAAATGAGTTTGGGAGACTTCCCTCCTCTCGAATTTTATGAAGTAGTTTGAGAAGGACTATTCCAAGTTCTCACAATGTTAGGTGAAATCCACCTGTGAAGCCATCTGGTCCAGGGCTTTTGTTTGTTGGGAGTTTTTTTATTACTGCTTCAATTTCATTAGGTGTAACTGTCTATTAAGATTCTCTGAATCTTCCTGATTTATTTTTACAAGAATATGTTTCTAGTAATGTATCCATTTTATCCAGGTTGTCCAGCTTGTTGACATAAATTGTTCATAATATTTTCTTACAATCCTTTGTGTTTCTTTGGTGTTAGTTGTTGTTTCTCTTCTTTCATTTCTGATTTTATTTATTTGGATCCTTTCTCTTTTTTTCCTTGATGGGTCTGGTTAGTTTGTCAATCTTGTTTATCTTTTCAAAGAACCAACTCTTAAATTTTTTGATCTTTTGTATTATTTTTTAGAGTCTATTTCATTTATTTCTGCTCTAATCTTAATTATTTCCTTCCTTCCACTCACATTGCACTTTGTTTTTCTTTTACAAGTTCCTTTAAGTATGCAGTTAGATTGTTTATTTGAGCTTTGTCTTATTTTTTGAGATAGGCCTGTAATACTATGAATGTCTCTCTTAGGATTGCTTTCCCAGTGTCCCACAGATTTTGAATTGTTTTGTCCTCATTTTCATTTATTTCAAGGTATCTTTTGATTTCATTCTTGATCTCATTGTTCACCCATTCATTGTTTAATAATATGTAATTTAGCTTCCATGTCTGTGCATGTTTTTCAGTGCTCTTCTTGTGGTTTATTTCTAGTTTCATAGCATCATGGTCAGAGAAGTTGCTTGGT